AGCCAGGTCCTAGGGCTCATGTAGAAACTCAGATTTAAATTAACCTGGGGACTTAGCTTTTGAAATGTTTATTAAAGGTCAGGGATGATTTTTTTTTGTGAGACATGGGTCTTTCAAAATAAAATATGGCTCACAAACTAGATTTTAGAAAGATACATGTGTAGGTTCTACACTCCCTAAAAGAGCAATACTTCTCTAGCATGTATAACATAGTCATTATTCACATGTTATGGTGGAGAGTGTCTTGAATCAAATGCTTCATGTCTCCTATCGAAGAGGTTAGTTGGGGACAAATTGACTACCTGACACAATCTAGTAGCCAAAATAATCAACATTCAGCTTTTCAATGAGAGAGATGTTTTTAACTAGGACCTGCATAACCACGGGCAATTATTAGTGCAGTCAATGTACCAGTATTTGATAAACCAAGGCACCCCTTTCACCAATGAGTTTATTGGGAAGTTGAAAATCCCTCTTAAGATAAAGATTTTCACGTGGTACACCCAACTACATATAATTTTAACAAAAGCGATTGAACTAGCATCTAAAAGTATTGTTTTTGTGATTGCAGTGAAACAATTAAACACCTGGTTTTTACCGACATTCAAAAGTGTTGTTTTTGTGATTGCAGTGAAACAATTAACCATCTAGTTTTTGACTGTTAACAAGGTAATACTATTTGGATCATTGTGGGAGTTGTAGCTGTTATGTGGGAAATTCAGTGCTCAGGCAACACCCAGTTTCTAAAAAAGAGCAGTTCCCAAGATAGGCACATCGAGATCAAGATGCTGCCGATAGAGAGACAAGTTCTCGACTCCAAGTCTCACCTCTATCTCCAAAAGATCACTCAGCAACATTATGGTTTACCTTCGCAGCAGCTATTCCTTCCATTTCTGAGCGGCTTTGAGATTTTTTTTCTTTTTGCAGGTTACTTTCAAGAGAACATATTGGCTGCGGTTTTAGGTGTTGCTGCAGCGGACACAACAAAGATAGCCCATTTGGCAAACAAAACATTAGAAGTTGTCACTTTGGATATCTTCACCAATAATGGATGGCCAAGCAATAATAGACTTTGCTTATGATTTTCTTAAGTTTTTGTGTGCTTTTTTGCTTATTTTAATGATTGACAATTGAGTTGAAAATTGATTGTATATATGTATTTACTAATGCTGGAACTATTCCTTAAAAAACAATTTAGAAACACATAATTTTTCAATGGATGTTAGAAAAAAATAAGCTCCAAACTTCATCAACCACGATATTGGAACAATGGGAAGATATGAAATAAATTATATAATTTCTTCTTTGTGATGAAAATGCAAGAAAAAACAAATTATAAGTTAGCCCATATATCTTGCTTTCTCTTATACTGAAAAATATAGACCCTTGACTTTTCTCTTCACTGCAATTCTCTTTAGCGAATCAATCGACACATAAACAGAAAATGACCTTCTTTCAAGTAAAGTGATTTATTTGTCTCAGGTAAGAAAAAAATATAGGACTGGATGAAAGATGGGATCTCATGAAACATGTACAAATGGATGGGAAGGAACATCCAGGCATCAGGCATTCAGCTTTATTAGGTACTGACAAAGCTAGCTACAAGAGATCGAGACCAAACGGCACTCCAGACAGTGATCGGCTGATCGCAAAAGACAAAGAGAGTATGCAATGCATGTGACGAGCTAGGTGACACGCCACCTCATGCCATCATGACTAATATAACAAGCAACTAGAGCAGCACATTACCGCGCCTTGTGTGCGTTAGTGGCCTCTGGATCATTGACAAAATGACAAGTCATTGTAACTATCGCACAACTGTTGTGCAAAATACACCTAGAACTACTGGGACATACTAGTAGTTAAAACTTATATATAAGCATAGGCAGGCGTGTTTTCTAGTTACTCACCCAACGGCTACTGCCATGACGAAGGTGATCGCCGGTATGAGATTCGTCATGGTCGTGGCCAGCGACGACGTCCCCAGGTGCAGCCCTTGGTAGCACAGGTTCTGATTCGCTGTAGCTCTGTTGCACAAGAAAAGATGAGGGTTGCCAAGAACAGAGGAAGCATATGTTCGAGGAGCACGATTATGTTCAGAAGTTAACAAGAATTTATAGGTACCCCGTACCCAAACAAAGCCGCCAGAAACACCAAAAAGAATGCTTTCATTCCCAGTCTCATCTCCTTCAGCCTCGCCCTATCAGTTAAGATTTTTTTTAAAAAAGAAAAAGAAAAAGAAAAACACATCAGTGGTTAGGGGACGAGAAGCAGGAGCAGCATCACTGAACACTTGATTGATCAACTCGTACCGATTGGCGATGGTGGCTATCGGGGCAAGGACGAGGGTGGCGACGGCCTGCCTGTAGACGACGAAGACCATGGGGCTCATGCCCCGCCCGAACGCTGCCTTGACCCACAGCGTCATTGCCGCGAAGATGCACTGCGTCGCCACCATGGCCGCGCACGGCTTATAGCCCTCCGCACCCGCACGGATGCCGACGCCGGCCATGTTGGGCCAGGCACTGGAGTTGGAGTGTGTCTGTGCACGCGTGCTGATGAGAGAGAGAGAGGAGGAAGCGTTGCAAGACCGTGATTTGGAGCTCTCTTCACTTGTGGTGGCCGTCAGAACCCGAGGCTTTGTATGCGCCTGGAGCCTGGAGCCTGGAGGTGGAGGGAATCAGGGGAGTGAGTCACAATGTGTCTGCTTGGTTTCCTGCTTTAATTGGAGTCTGGCTAGGCTAAACCTGTCCCAGCAAGCCATATGGGTTTGTTTGGTTGTGCTGCTATCTCTGGCCTAGTTTCCATAAGAGCTTGTTTGGTTGATTGCTTTGTCTTGCATAGAATCACCGTATCTTTAGCCAGGTTACAAAGCATTCTATCGAACACGTGGTAAGCTCCATCGCGGTGATGCTAGCTGCTCTCCTCTTCGTCCATGAAGACCTCCGTTGCGCCCATATTCTGACGTCTGAATTTCAGCTGGAATTGCATGCATCGTGCTATTTCAGAACCGTAATAAAATGCTATGAGCTAATAATGCATCGTGCTCATGTTCTGACGCCAGATTGAACGCGGCATTGCCGTCTGCTGAAACTAATCTTCAGTTTCGATTGCACGCAACATTGCTGCCTGCTGAAAGTAATCTTCAGTTTGGCTTGCTGCGTCAGTCCAATGTAAGAGTAGCACTAGAGAGGGACGGCGGAGGCACCGGCGGCAGCCCGGGCACGTCCACCAGAGGCGCGTGGCGTTGCGCTGCTCCTCGGCGAGCTGCGAAGGTTGGACCCTGTTGACGGAGTCCATCGTGACGGTCGCCGTGGCGAGGAGGACCCCGGCCGAAGCCTTGGGCGCGTCCATGGCCGGCGCGGCAGGCGCCAGCGCGGCCATGACGGAGGCCGCCAGCGTCAGCGACAGCGAGTTGTTGGAGTGGAGGAGCAGGTGGTTTCGCAACCTCCCCTCCGCCCCTGCCGCGCCACGGAGCTCGCCGGGGAAGACGCCAGGGAGCTCTGCGGGGAAGCGGCCTGGGCACCTGCCGTGCGACTCCGTCGCCGCGTCTCGTGCCTCCGACCTCCGAGTCCTCCGCCGCGCGCTCCACGGCCACCGCCTCGATCCAGCGCGCCAGCGCCCGCATTTGTTCGCAGCCTCCCCTCCGCCCCTGCCGCGCCACGGAGCTCGCCGGGGAAGCGGCCTGGGCCCCTGCCGGAAGGGAAGACGACGCTGATGCGGTATTTGGTTGGGTCGGAGTAGAGACGGCGGCGCGACGGCCAGGTGCCTCCTTCCGCCTCTTCGTGAGCCAGCTGGCCGAGACGGCGCGGCGCTCGCTCGCCGACCGTCGGCCGTGGACGGAGCTGCTCGACCGGAGATGGTGCCGCGGACGGAGATGGCGACGCGAGAAGTCACCGGGGCGAGTGGTGGGCGGTGAGGAAACTCCCCACGCGAGCTGAGCCAGGCCCCAGAAAAAAGATGTCGATTTCATTCTTTGGAGCCAGGCCCAATTGCGTGGTCTAGCCAAGCTAAAGCCCAACTACAAGTTGCGAAGCCCAACTACAGGCAATCAAACAAGTCCAAATTAACTCCAGCAGACCAGGCCAAGAGTCGGACACCCAACCAAACACATCCAATGACTACATTTGGCTCCGTATAGTCGGCAGATAGCCATGCACCGCCCACCGCAGACGTCTTCTTTGGCGCTTGCCGGAGCTAAACCAGATTCATTTTCATTAAGAATTTAATAATGTATATAAATGTTGGTGTATTTTATATATTACTTTGATCAAAATTATATGTGTAATTTAGAACGAAACTTAAAAGGCCTATGACTTGAAATCCAACGTGTGAGCGCCTGATCAGTTGGCATACGCAGGGCGGAAACATTGATGTCATAGTACATAATATATATATATATAATAATCGTGCTCAAATCATAGGATCATTTAACAATTGTTTACAAAGTTACGTGATTTGATTGATATAGCAACATTCGAACTGTGGCTCCGCCCTAATGACGTGAGAATTTCCCCAGTTCAGTTGGTCTTAGATTGGTGCGCCTGCAAATATCATCTTCCGAGTTGGTCTAAAATATACGGGCCTGGTTATGCCCATCTGATTCTACTGGGACAAATGCTTGCTTCTTGGACCCGGCCCGATGGGGCCTTTTTTTTAGGACTGTGAAGCGGCGGCATGTGGGCCATGTAGTCGCAGCAGGCCCAGACCCGGCCAGCCCACAAGCTAGACGGAGTTGGAGAATGGAGACGACAGCGAGCGGACCGGACCGGAGTTGGCGACGACTTTGGACGCCTGGACGGGAACACGGCGGCGGCGGGGGTTTGCCGCGTTGATTAACAAAATCGTGCGGATAATACACATCGGCAGCATGGAGATGAAATCAAACTCGACCAACCGGCCATTTGAAACTGCTGGAGTACTGTACATTGCAAAGATGGGACGGCACTGCGCCGGTAGCATAACGACGACGAACAGAACGCTGAGGAGCAAAATCCCATCTACTTCTCCGTTGGATCATCGCCGGCCGCCAGGAGGGGCTCGGCGATGCCACTGCCGACGTCGACCGTCGAGTCCGACCGCGCCGACGTCTTCTCCAAATCTTCCGAGTGCTGCTCTGGCTCCATCCCGGCCCTCTTGCCGTCGCCCGCTTTGCCCCACAGCACCACGTACAGCCCCGCGATGACGGCGATCGCGCCCAGCAAGCTGATCGATCATCGGTCAGCCACAAAAGATCGATCGATGTCATGTCTCGTCACAAACTCACAACTCCATGCAGCATCACCGTACGAAATGAACCTTGCATTGCATGCATTACGATTACGAACCTGCCGACGTGCAGCTCTTCGCGGAGGACGGCGGCGGCGAACACGGTGGTGATCACGGTGCAGAGCGGGTTGAACATGGCGGAGTAGAGCGGTCCCCTCACTGAGATGCTCCACGACTGCAGGTAGAACGTGACGCCTGACCCGAACACCCCCTGCATTGCCATCACACCGCCACGACGACATCACCTCCAAGGTCCACGAACGGCGCCATCACCGAGAGGAAGCAACAATGCGAGTCACGGCGACGGATCATGCATGCATCATATCGTTGACGACAGTTACCGAGAAGAGGCAGCAGGAGAGGTCGAAGAGCGAGTGGATCCTCCAGGCGGTCGGGTCCGGCAGGAGGAAGGCGACGAGCAGCGCGGACTGCAGCGTGGACAGGAGGCACATCCACGCCGACAGCGCCAGCGGGTCCACGTACGACTTGCAGATGGGCACCTGCAGGATGAGCCAGAGCGACCAGCAGGAGCTGCTGCCCACCAGGAAGAGCGCGCCCGTCACCCACCTGCTGCCGCCCGCCGCCGGCGAGTGCAGGAGGAGGAGAGCGTGCAGGTCGCCCAGCAGCAGCTTCGGGCCCTTGAAGAAGGCCATGGCCATGGCGCCGCTGACGCAGACGGCCGTGCCCAAGATCTTGGCCAGGCTCCTCGGCCTCCTCACGTCCACCCTCTCTAGCCTGTTGTTGATTGATGTGATGGAGGCATCACATCACACGACAGTATCAGCAAATTCACACTCTGTACTACTCTTGCCAATTCACGAGGGTACTGTAACAGTCTAATAATGGAAGACGATCAATGGAACGAGTGGCAGAATATTCTGGAGCTAGTGGGCGTCTCAAAATAATTTAACATGGCAGGAAAAGGTAGTGCAGGAACCTACTGATCATTTTGTCATTAGTTATGCAGCACTATTTCATCTATACTTTTCAGCGAAGGAATAATATTTTTCTCTCACAATAAATCAGCATAAGCTAAATTTTAGCGAAACGAACAGGGCCGTCTGGAAAGTGTTATGCATGAGCTGAAAATATGCTGTTTCTGAAAGCTGACAGAGAGCCAGACTGTCAGAATAAGTATGCATGACCTGGATCTTGATTTTTTGGAAAAGAAAAAACATATAAATCCAAAGAGGCAACCCGTCGCTTGTTATGCCCGAACCCCAAGTCTGAATTTAATTCTGTCGCATAAAAAGAGATGTATTAGCCAATCTGTTGGATGTTCACAACTTCCCAAATTAAGCTTTAGCTTTCGAGCTCATGTAAGTTTATTGTTGATTCATGGGACTTTGATCTTTGTGATATTGGCCCTGCAAAAAGAAGTGGTTTGTTGCTACCGTCGTAGGCAGCGTCATGTGGCCATCCATGCCCTTTTGTTCTGAGGCTATATTACGGTCCCGGAATAAACGTGTAACTAATTACTCCCTCCTAAATTACACTTAATACATTTATTTATTTTATTTTATATTATTTATGATTATAAACTTATGGTTATTGGACTGTACATTTAATTACAAGTTTAATAGTATCAAGTTTGTATTATAATAGTTAGAAGTTGTAGCTAAATTATTGATCAAAGATTAGAAAGTTCAACTTTTGACCTACACCAAATGTCCTATACTGGACCGCTGGTGAATGATGTGCCGCTTTATTTGGTCCAGAGCACCCGACTAATAATGCAGCCATGGAGCCAACCTAACGCAGTACTATGCCAGTGGAGCAGAGAAACAGTGATCCACTAATTTGCTGATGAAACGGTTCCTCTCTTCTCTGTCAGGTACTCACCCGACTGATGCTGCCATGACGAAGGTGATGGCCGGAATCAAGTTGGTCATGGCCGTTGCCATCGATGACGAGCCCAGATTCACCCCTTGGTAGTACAAACACTGATTCACTGTCGCCCTGTCGCATGCCGCATGCATAGAGCAAAACTTGATGTCAGAACTAACTCACAAATAAGAATCTGAAGGGGTTTCCCTCTACGCTGTAGCTAAACCCAAACAATATTGATGTGAATCGGCGATGCAGGCTTCTTCCGTGTCCGATCTTCCGTGCGTTAGTACTGTATTGCTCTATATATTGCATACCCGACAAGAGACGCGACGAAGACCAAGGAGAAGCCTGTCATTCCAAGGCGGCCCATCATCTCCTTCATCTTCCTCCTGCATGCAGATCCACGAGCCATGGCGGACGACAAGAATCAGGTGACGATGAAACAGCTGGTGCAGGTATCGTATTTGTATACGATCGGCCGAAGTTGTCAAATTAAAGTAGCAGCAGAAATGAAGACATGCATGCACCTGTTGGCCGCGATGACGACGGGGACGAGCACAATGGTGGCAACGGCCTGCCTGTAGACGACGAAGACCAGGGGGCTCATGCCGCCGGTGAACACCGCCTTGGACCAGAGCGCTAGAGCCGCGTAGATGCACTGCGTCACCACCATGGCCGCACACGGTTTGTACTCCTCCATGGCGTCTGCAGTTGCTGCAGATCGACTTGCAGAGCCTGCCGGCGCCTGGCGTTCGTTACACGGCCGGCTGTTTTGGCTTATCACTGGCTCGATCTCGCACGCTGCTCAAATGCAAGAGGCAGGCAGGCAGGCACCTCATATATGCTAGGCGATGGAGTAGTAGCAGACTGGCACACGGTACAGAGGGAGACCAGAGTGGTTGTTGCTACTCCTACCGTCCTATACGTACGTAGTAGGAGCTTAGGAGTAGTAGCTCGCACCTCGCAGGTACCTTCATCTGCATGTGCTCCTCACAGGGCACCGTTGGACGTGTCTGCTGTCACGGGGATCGGTGGCCAGCGACGGAGCTTGCATGAATGGGGGGGGGGCGCAATTCAAAGGTACACTGCTACAATATTTATCAATTGGAATTCTGTGAAAAATCTTTGTTTTTTCAAGTTCTATCTATATATACTGCAATGAACAATTGAAATCCTATCAAAGAAGAATGAACAATGTACAGATTTATATACTTGTAAGCTGTAATCCACTAATCAGCGACAGCAAGAATGGTACAAGAGATGCAGAAATTAATTACATACATGCAGCGACATGTAAACATGTAGAGTGCAACCGGAGCAAGGAGGGCCAGGACCCAGTTTTGCCCCCACATAGCTCCGTCCGTGTCGGTGGCTACATGGTTGTTGTACTGTGGAATATATCACAAAAGTTTATATCTACATGTGCTCACATGGTATGGTAGCTACTACTAGTTAGCAGACTTATGGAAGAAATTCGAAGGTTGTATGGTGTTCACACTTCACGGTACCCTATTTAGGGACCTCGGCCAGAACATTAGTACGAGTTTTCTTTCCAAAAACACCTCTCAATATCAATTCAGGTTTTTGAAATCGACACTTATAAATACTCTCTATGTTTCAAATTATAAGTCATTTTGATTTTTTGATACATCAATTTTGCTATATCTAGATATGTTGAACATTAGTACGAGTTTTCTTTCCAAAAACACCTCTCAATATCAATTCAGGTTTTTGAAATCGACACTTATAAATACTCTCTATGTTCCAAATTATAAGTCATTTTGATTTTTTTGATACATCAATTTTGCTATATCTAGATATAACATATGTCTAGATACATAGCAAAATCTACATACTAAAGAAGTCAAAGCAACATATAATTTGGAATGGAGGGAGTAGTACACTAATAGCTAGGATCCAGTTTTCGAAATCAACACTGATGTTTCAAATTACATGTTGTATTAGTTTTGTCCTGATAAGTTAAATATTTTTTTTATCTTTGACCAACAATTCCAAGAAATTCATATAGCTCCACAGTATGTGAATTATATATTATGAAATTGTCTCATAGTGAATCTAAAAATATAGTTGTTAACCTATACAACTTTTTACAATTGATAGTACCCAAAAATAGGTATAATATTTAACTTAGGACAGAAATAATACGACATGTAACTTAAGAGTAGTATACTAATAATTAGGATCGGTTAAAGCAAAAGTGGTACAAAAAATGTGACCACATAAATTATTTTTGTGGGGCTGAAAATGGGTGGGACTTTTTCCATGTCAACATAGCCACCTACATGGCTTTTCACCAAATATGTTTCTAGAAAGTTTTTATCAATCATTTGGATATCTATGGGTGACGATCTAGTCTTAGGATTGAATGTCACTAGAGCGTGCTCAATTTTTTTCTTAAGTTGTGTGCCTATCACTTAGGCAGAGGCTGGGAAGTTGTTCCAAGCTAAGGTCGTGTATCAACTCGCTGACCAATAAAAATTTTAGAGCTTTTATAATATATAAGTTCTCTTTAATTAAAAAAAACTTTAGTTAAATGTGTATCAAACCCTCTCAAACTTTCCTCATATATAATTTTTAAAGTTATGCATGTCCTATGTAGGCCATTGTAATGGATATCTAACACCACTATTAGCCTCTTATATCCAACCTAATTATTTAGATATTACATGACAAAATTATAGGATATTTCAACTTAAACACGGGTAGTTCACTTATAATTCAACACTCCCTCTCACGTGCAAGCTTCCTCAAGATTTAACATAGAAATATGATCTAAGCTGAAGACATTTGATCATGATACCATATTAAATTACATGCACAGTATATACTTCAACAATGTATATATATTGTTCCTTTTGGTGTCAATAAGGGGGTGTTTAGTCTGTGGCCACACACTGCCACGCCGCAGATGTCCACAAAAGATGGAGCCTCTATTTGGTTGGCAAGTGAAACGAGGCTACCACAGAAACGTAGAGAACAAATCCCACGATAAACTGTCACTACTACTACAAATTGACCTATCACGAACGAATCTATCACCGTCGGTATCATTAAAAACAATGGTGATAGCTATCTCCAGTGGTTCGTAATTTAAACTGTTGTTGATGAGAGTATCACCGCCGGTTCGTAAGAACATCCGTATCAATAACTATCTCTACCACTTCGTCTTACCAACCGACGTTGATAGTCCATCATCACAAACGGTTTGCACCACTAGCCGGCCGTGACGATGTGCTCCTCATCACTGTCGCCTCACCATATGAACTAGTGGTGAAGACATTTTCACCGCCAGCTCGTTGTATGATACGACGGTGATAACCATTCTGCAGTATAAATAAATTCATAACTTTTTCAAATAAAGTCAGATGAAACAAACTTTATATCAAAGTTGTAGATCTCGATGCAATCGACAACTTTGTAATTGATGACTTTTCATTTGAAACCATTTACGGTCCTAGAATTCTGTTTGAAGCACTCAAATTTTGAAATTCAATTTTTTCAAATTGTAAAAATTACCCTAGATGGAAAAATGATCAAAACCAAAGTTATAAATCTCAATGAGATATACAACTTTGTAGTTGACAACTATTTCATTAGAAATAATTTATGGTCTCAAATTTGTATCTGAAGTTTTAAAATTTTAAAAAACCAAAATTTTCAAACAACCTTGGATGGAAAATGGACTAAAACCAAAGTTGTAGATCTCGATGAGAACAACAACTTTGTAGTTGATGAGTTTTTCATTTGAAATCATTTGAGGTCCCAAAAGTCTTACTGAAATTTTGATGTTTTGAAATTCAAATTTGTCAAATGACCTCGGATGGTAAAACAACCAAAATCAAAGCTGTAGATCTCGATTAGAACAATAAATTTGTAGTTTATGACTCTTTATCGGAAGCCATTTAGGGTCCTAAGTATTCATTTTAAAATCTAAAAAGTGAATATTAGAGGAATGTGTACACTATATAGACATAAATGACTTAGGGTGGAGTGGTTAGAGGAGAGTGGTTAGAGGAGCTAAGGACAAAGGTCTCAGGTTTGAATCCCAGCACCGCATACCATGAAAAATAGTGTGGAGTTAGAGCTGGAGCAACTTCCTAGTACCATGAAGCTGGAGCTAGTGGGGGGCTTCCCAAAATTGAAACAAAATTTTTTTGCTATTTTTTTAACCCATTTTTGGGAATTTTTAAAATTCAAATTACCGCCGGCGGGTAATACGAACCGACTGTGATAAGCTATTATCACTACCGGTTGCAAACCGCCTGTGATGAGAATGTCATCACCACCGACAGCTTACTGTCAAGATTGAAAAGCGCTAGTGATGGGCTTTGCGAATCGTTTGTGATAGGTCTGAATGTAATAGTGTGTGACGCCAGAAAACATTGCCATAGCTGTGGCAGCCACAACCTGCCGCACTCTAGGCGTGGCGGATAGTGGAGTGAACAGGCTCTAAGCTGGCTACTATATTATTCAATATATTATCGGTTCTTCATTTATTCTTTCTCAATTATTTCTCAACCAAGCAGCGGCACATGGACAGCGTTGTCTGTGGTAAATCCGACATTGGTACGATGGATCAAGCGCCTCAAGCAACATTGGATGACATCTTGGTAGATTGGACCAACAGTGATGACTCGCGGGTGGTTGTGGTGTAGAATCATGGATGCATGGTGCCCGTGGTCTAGTGGGGTGTCACATAAAGTAGGACAATCACACAAGTGACAGAGGCTTAGCGATAGTGATTCAGCATTGCGCGCACGAAGGCCGAATTTTTTATTTTTTAGCCCTATTTTTGAAAAAAAATCACAAATATGTTTCTAAAGGTAAGATTTCAAAATCTGAACCCTTAGCTCGGCGTCATCATTGCTGGTGCCGAGCTTACACGTCTCGGCCGAGCTCTTGGGCTCGAAGCAGACGTGGTGGTGATTTGGCAGGCACCTCGGCGCCAGGGTTACTGGCGCCCAGCCTGTCTTATGTATGGCCCCCAGTCCTTTCACTCTTCCTCTCCCTCTCTCTCTTGCACCACCCACGCCTCGCCCGAGCAGCGCACCGCCGCCGCCGCCCGTGCCCTCTCCCGCCGTCGGCTGCCCGTGCCAGCGCCTCGCCGTGCCCTGCGCCCGCGTCTGGCCGCCCACGCCGGACCCCGCGGCCGCGTCGGTCCCCCCACCCGCGTCGCGCCCTCGCCTCGCCCGACGTGCCACCCGCGTTTGCGGCCGCCTTGGCCGTGCCTCGCCGCACCGGCGCCGTGCCCGCCGTGCCGTGGCCGCAGCGCGCCCGCGCCGTGCCGCCCGCGCCCAGCGTCGTTCGCCGTGCCGCCCGCCACCACCGGCCTCGCCCGCGCCCGCCGTGCCGGCCTCACTGCGCGGAGCACCGGGCATCCCACGCCGGCCGCGGGCCACCACCGTCCTCGGCCGCGCCCCCGCCGGCCCCGGCACCTGCAGCGCCCAGTCGTGCCACCGTCGGCCCGGCTCGTCGGCTTGACCCACGCCCGACGTCCGCTGCGACTCCGTCGACGTCCGTGACTCCGTCGTCGGACAGGTAAAAATTGTGAATTTATAATGTGTGTACTTAGTTAGCTTTGATTGTAGTGTAGTAGTTTTGGCATTTGGTATTTACTAGTTAATATGATGACTCAGGTAGTTGATTTAGTTAGTGATCTAGTGAGATAGAAACATAGAT